GTTTCAGGGCTTTCTGTGAACCATTGAACCCAAATTACCAGGTCCCATGTACTGCGACAATTCACAACTACCTCATAAAGTCGTATGAAGTTTGCAAGGAGAACAAAATATCAGTACCCAAAACAGTACCTGCCGTGGCCCTAACTACGGACGCATGGACAAGCGTAGCCACTCACGGCTGCATCACTGTCACTGCCCACTATACCTATGTTTGAACATCTTGTTTTCTACATAGATATTCAGTCGTTCTTATCCAGTTTATTTCAGTGTTGCATATTCAACAATCAACACATACATACGCATTCAACATAACATTCACACTTGGAGACCTATATCCTTAATAGTGAAAGTTTTAATCACAATGAATACCATTGACGTGATTTCCGTTCAGCAGAGCTTCGGAAGTTACTTAATAAATGGTTAGTCTTTAGTTTGAAACCAAAACGTTTTCACTATAAGAAGTCTCAAATAAACATCAATCCTGTTTTACATATTCTTTAAGTTCCATAGTCGATCCATCTTTACAAGATACTAGTATCTAATGCAGCACCAATTAATGAATGCTTCATCTATGTATCTTCCAGCTTTGCAACGTGTTTTGCCGCATTTTAACCGTGATTAAGGTTAATTGATTGTGTGACTTATCGTCTAGGTGAATGTTTAAAAGTTGCTAATATGTCCTAACTGCAACGACATATTAATATTAGATAATCTTGAAAGTGCAGTCAAACTTAAAACCAAAAGAAAAGAGAAGTACATTGAATGGTTTCTTTTCCCGGCCACATCCAATCATATAACAGCATTTACAGGCGTAATAAGGTATCACCGGCCCAGCTCATGAATATTGATCACATAATTGATCGGATAGAACTGGGTCACAGTGACACTTACGTTGCCTTCACATTCTGTTTGCAATAATAACAAGAAGACAAAGTCATCAATATCCCCCGCAATGGCAAAATACTCTTCATGATTATGTCTACGAGGTATGATTATGTCAAATATTTAGGTGTGTATATAGAAAAGTGGAAGCAGAGTATTGAAAGGTTTTGAAAGTTCTGCTCCAGAAAGGAGCACTATCACCAATTTTAGTCTAAGTCAAACTTGTTGCCATGGAAATGACAAAAATATTTTATTCACAATTCCAAAACTACCAAAAGGCACCAGTACACCACCAAATCTATCTATGTGCCAAGTTTGGTGAAGAAATAGTGAATGGTTTTAGAGTTCTGCTCCGGAAAAGAGCACAACCACCAATGCCAGTCTAAGTCGAACTTGTTGCCATGGAAACGCCAAAAATATTTTATTCAGAATTCCAAAACTACCAAAAGGCACAAGTGCACCACCAGATCTATCTATGTGCCAAGTTTGGTGAAGAAATAGTGAACAGTTTTAGAGTTCAGCTCCGGAAAAAGAGCACTACCAAAATTTCAGGCTAAGTGAAACGTGTTGCCATGGAAAAGCCAAAAATATTTTATTCAGAATTCCAAAACTACCAAAAGGCACAAGTACACCACCAGATCTATCTATGTGCCAAGTTTGGTGAAGAAATAGTGAATGGTTTTAGAGTTCAGCTCCGGAAAAGAGCACTACCACAATTTCAGGCTAAGTCAAACTTGTTGCCATAGAAACGCCAAAAATATTTTATTCAGAATTCCAAAACAACCAAAAGGCACCAGTAGACCACCAGATCTATCTATGTGCCAAGTTTGGTGAAGAAATAGTGAACAGTTTTAGAGTTCTGCTCCGGAAAAGAGCACTACCACCAATTTCAGTCAAAGTCGAACTTGTTGCCATGGAAACGCCAAAAATATTTTATTCAGAATTCCAAAACTACCAAAAGGCACCAGTACACCACCAGATCCATGTATGTGCCAATTTTTGTGAAGAAATATTGAACGGTTTTAGAGTTCTGCTCCGGAAAAGACAAATGTGCACGGACGGACAGACGGACGGACGGACGGACGGACGCACGCACGGACGGAGTCCATTTTAATAAAAAGGTAATAGATACTTCCATCGACATTGAATATCAATTGCTTTATTCAGGAACGTTTGGATTCACATATACATGTTGCATTATTCGTAGATTGGAAGTTGGAACAGCTACGTGTATGCTTGAATGTTGTTTTCAGATAAGCATCCAAATTGTCGGGTACTCGGGTCCGAGTCGGGTCTGACACCTCGAGTACTCGAGTCCCAAATTTTGGACTCGTGAGAGCCCTAACTGAGTATGGCATTAGAAGTGATGTGACCTGAAGTTTTACTCAGTGTCAGAGGTTACTGCCACTTTTTTAGTGTAAGTCCACTGAGGTACCATGTTGCAGTTTAACATGGCTACCCAACCCAGACACAATTTACTGACTCCAACCCAAACAGTCCTTGTTTTATTCCCTTAATGCCAAGCTCTCTATCCACTGGACTACACAGTACTACTGATGCATTAAACATAAAATACAAATGATCCAACTGAAAAATATGTGATTATTTCAATCAAAATTTGTCAAAATGTTCATAAACATAGTGTATACTCGACTAACCAGAAATACCCAGTTGTTTTAACCCTTCCTGTGGCCATATATCATATTTTCATGGTTCTTCTTGACAGTGAGCCATAAAATTTTTAGACCTATAAACCAACGGATAAGTTGCCAAGTATATATGCTTGTGGCAATTCAATTCTAAATAGCCTGGTTATACTTACTTGAATTTCCTTACAATACCATTTACTACAAAAATTACTATATGTTCAAATTTCCCTTCATTTAATACTTTATTAACCTTAACAGAGATACCAACAGAAATATAGGCTACATATCTTGTCAGCATTCTTTCACAAGTTCCAGGTTCAGGTGGGATAAATGGCCCAGTTGTCTGTACATAGAGTTGCATCCTGTGATTATGGGTTTGAATCCCAGTGTGGCTCAAATTGTGTTTCCAAGTTGGTCAGCACCATCAAAGTGATAAACATCATAAATGTGCATCACTGCACATGGTTTAAACATATTTTTATTTCGCTAAAGCAGAAACCTGGATTAGTGGATAGGCGAACAAGCCTAGTGGCTTATATAAACGCCGCTCCAGTACATTGTTCAAATAGCTGGATACATAATGAAATAATTTGACAACAAAAGAACAATACCATAACAGATATATGATTGAGTAACAAATATGTTCGTTCTGGTGTTGGTTATGCCTAGCAACGAAATGGGCTGACGTAGAAAATCACGTTATATAAAATTTGTCTTACACTGAATATATATGTTGAGGGGATAATCACTGGAAGCGGTTACTTTTAGAAATGAACTGTTGTAATGAGTTAAGAATGTCACTATTAGTTGAGTTATTCAATGCTGCCGTTACCGTATAAAGTAGTTTTAACATCGTATCCTTGAATATCAAGATACACACTTGTTAAGTCACTGCACATGTTAGTTTCATCTCAAGCTTCCACACTGATATAAACTGAATTTGTTCAAATTGGTGTCAAAACTCATACCAATTGACGACCAGTCACAAGGAGATGCAAATAAACCATAAAGTGAGCGACAGGGTGAGTTTAGTTTTACGCCACACTCAGCAATATTCCAGCTATATGAGTCCAGTGATTAACAGCATGAGCATCGATCTGCGTAATTGGGAACCGATGACATGTGTCAACCAAGTCAGAGAGCCTGACCACCCGACATAAAGACTTACTATATGACAGCAATTGAGGAGCATTTCTATTTGAAATTGTTTAATATTGTCGGTACATTCTAGTTATTCTATCATAAGATTATTTGTTCAAAGTGAAACTTTAATCCATGGTTGAACAACACAGCATACAAGGATCCTACAAGTGAACTAAGACTAAGAGCTGAGACTGAGATATGTTTCTGAAACAAAATATAGTTCAAATATGATCAAGGCCTGATACTTTGATTTGAGTGTTGACCTGAGAAGATCCAGGCTAGAATTGGTCTTCAGTAACCCATGCTTGTCGTAATAGGCGACTAACAGATTGGGTGGTCAGACTCGCTGACAGATGTCATTGTATCCCAATTGTGTAGATTGATGCTCATGATGTTGATGACTGAATTGTCTGGTCCAGACTGGTTACAGACTGCCTCCATATAGCTAAATATTGCTACGTGTGGCGTTAAACAACAAACCAACCAACTATTTGATTGTAAAGGGGTGCTTGATGTAGGATAGGGGCTGCAACAAGGCCATATTAACTACCTGGGAACCTGTTGTAGATTTCAAAAGTAGGATACAACAGGATTAGAAACTAATTCACTGTACCCTGGACTAAAGTATTGAGATAAAAAAAAACAAGAGGAAACTCAAAAGAACCCAAGTTACCAGTCCCTGCCCTTGAGGGGACATATAACTCTTATACAACATTACCTATGCATCCTTACTTACCCCTACCTGATTTTTAACTATAAACTATAGGCTAAACTATAGTGTTTGCTCATCACAAAAATAGGCGGGGGTGGGGGTACCTAAGGAACTCTTTCCAAGTATTTAGAGACAAAAACAAAACAAGAGAAAATTCAGAAGAACCCAAGTTACCAGTCCCTGTCCTTGAGGGGACTTATAACTCTTATACAACATTACCTATGCATTGAAGAGGTACGTGAAATCAGTGAAGCATGAGCCACAACCGGGTTCATGCCCACGTTCACACACTCACTTGTTTGCAGTGTGGATCGCGTCACACCCAAAACCAACCCCTCACATGTTGTGGACACCTCATTAGTGATACACGGACCTGTTATTTCACAACTTTCACCATCCATTATGTAACGCTAACTTAGTAAAAGTTAACGAAATACCATCAAATTGTAAGGTAGAAACACCTTGTCGAGTGTTATTTATGCATTGCCCCGATTAAACACGCTTAGAAGTAAGTCGTCTGCTTTCAGTAGAAACACGGAAACGCGTACTGAGAGGTACCCTAACACGAATTAATCACAACAAACCTTGTTTGATTAACTGTCACTTATACTTACCGCGTAGACACGATCCCTGTCAAGCTACTGTCAGACGATCAGAGGCAAGAATGACTTGACAAGTCCGGTTCGGTTCACGTGTACTTAACATGCGCAGTAATACTAGTATATGACGTTATGGTTATGTAATGTATGTATTAGCATGGATTTATGCTGCAATATATCTAACAGCCTTCCATGTGAACAATGTGAATAGAATGACTTTTGGTCTGTACAGGCTGCTGTCGGAAGTTCCACTTTTGTACCGGACTATTTTTCTGACGAGATTTGTTTTGGGTAATCGTATTGTCGTAAAATTAGAAGTGATTTTATGATCATTATTTTTTAATTTGTTGGTACTATTTTTAAAATACACTAGTGTCTCACGTGTTCAAAAAGTTATGGATAGTAAAAGATGCATAAATTAGCATTTTACAACAAACACTGAGGTTGATTCAAAAGTGGACACATCAAACGAAATGATGTTTGAGGTTATTCTCATTCGGTGTTGCTAAACAGGTAGGACAACGCGTGTTCCTCACGTGAATGGAACATGTCTGCCTTCGTTGCAAAACATAATTCGTGTACTGACATTGACTTCTGTACCAATGCATACTCATTATTGCCTTCAAGTTTTAACAGTACTTCATTTATCTTGTTTGAATATTTTCTTCGCGCTAACTGCTGTTATCAACCATGAGCGACAGATAATGACTAACGTTGTTTTAACTGATTTGTGACCTGGACTAAGGTCCACACTCCACCACGAAAAGCAGTAGTAGTAGTAGCAGTAGTAGTAGTCGTAGAAGTAGTAGTAGTAGTAGCAGTAGTAGTAGTAGACATATATAATAGTAGTAGTAATGGTAATAGTAGATCTCGTAGTAGTAGTAGTAGTAGTAGTAGCAGTAGCAGTAGCAGTAGTAGTAGCAGTAGCAGTAGTAGTAGTAGTAGTAGTAGTAGTAGTAGTAGTAGTAGTAGTAGTAGTAGAAGCAATATATAGTAGTAACTGTAATTGTACAATTGAGTGAGTGAATTTGGTTTTACGCCGCGTTTAGCAATATAGCCTATTCCAACTATATCACGGCGGGGGACACTAGAAATGGGCTTCACACATTGTACCTGTGTGGGAAGTGGAACGCTTTAACTACTAGGTTACACCACAGCCCCAATTGCAGTAGTAGTAGTAGTAGTGGTAGTAGTAGCAGTAGAAGTAGAAGTAGTAGTAGTAGTAGTAGTAGTAGTAGTAGTAGTAGTAGTAGTAGTAGTAGTAGTAGTAGTAGTAGTAGTAGTAGTAGCAGTAGTAGTAGTAGTAGTAGTAAGTAGTAGTAGTAGTAGCAGTAGCAGTAGTAGTAGTAGTAGTAGCAGAAGTAGTAGTAGTAGTAGCAGTAGCAGTAGCAGTAGTAGTAGAAGTAGTAGTAGTAGTAGTAGTAGTAGTAGTAGTAGTAGTAGTAGTAGTAGTAGTAGTAGTAGTAGTAGTAGTAGTAGTAGAAGTAGTAGTAGTAGTAGTAGATGAAGTAATACTAATACTTAGTGAGTAGCCTATATGGTGTAACGCCACCTGATTATTCCACTAGTCCAGTGAGAAAATGTGAGAGACATGCCTGATGCTATGCAGGTCTCAAAACGTTTACCACTTATGGTGAAACCGCGAGTAGCTGACATACCCAGAAACATATTGAAGGCGAACCACGGTCGGAACCATCTATTCTCTCTTTTTTGTTGTTGCTTAAAGCCGCACTCAGCAATATTCCAGCTACATGACGGCGGTCTGTAAATAATTGAGTATGGACCTGACAATCCAGTGATCAACAGCATGAGCATGAGCATGGGTTGTGCCAACCAAGTCAGCGAGTCATACCCCCCAATCCCGTTAGTCGCCTCTTACGGCAAGCGGACGATGGGGTAGCTTAGTGGTTAAAGCGATCGCTTGTCACTCCGAATACCCGGGTTCGATTCCCCACATTCCCCACATTTCTGGTGTCCCCCGCCGTGATATTGCTAACATATTGCTGAAAGCGGAGTAAAACCATACTCACTCACTCACTCAAACGACAAGCATTAGTTACTGAAGACCAATTGTAACCCGGATCTTCACGGGTATCGGAAGCCATGGGCGGATCCAGGAATTTTGAAAAAAAAGAAAGGGTTGGGAGAAAGGGGGGTCGAACCCCCTGAACCCCCCATTTGGCTCCGCCAACGCAAAAATAATCTTCAATGTGCTCTTAAGTCATTTTCAAAGGGGGGTGTTCGAACCCCCTGAACCCCCCTCTGGATCCGCCAATGGAAGCAACTATCGGTTAGGTTTCTTGCGAGCCCCAAAAGCTACACTGCACAGCAAACGGCCGCACCAAAACGGACAATCCAACCCGATAATATGTTTATGGACATTGTAACTAATAGACGACTAAAGTATTTTCACGATGTAATGAAATATTGCTGCATTACTATATTATTTCCCGTCAATTAATCTGATAAATAAGGAATATAATGCCTGTATGGTTTCCATGTCCGCCCAGCATCGAGGACAAGACCACGACTGTTACATCGAGACATTCAGACTAGTCGGATGTCGTGAAATGACCCAGGTAAGTTAAATTTTCGTGAATATTAAATACAATTATGAAAGTTCATTTCTTGTTGAATAAATAATTTCAGATCAAACCCTGTGAATAGAATTACATGGCTTTGACCAATGATGACTTGGTTGATCGTGCATGATCGTGTATCCATGGCATTGGGGTTTGCTCATAATATCAATCGTTTGACTGTCGGGTGCAGGTTCGTTTAATTAAAATCCGTTATGCTAAAAGCACTGAAGTGATAAAAGGAAAACAAAAACGCACAATTGTCCTGAAGATCCGGGTTAGAATTGGCCTTCAGCAACCCATGCTAGTAGTAAGAGACTCGGGTGATTAGGTCTAGTATGTATGAAATGTATACAGATGTATACAAATTTAGAAGATGTCTTCAACTGCGATGAAAATCTGTGTACCTCGGACTGCTGTCTAATTCGGACTTTTTAGTCGGTCCAAGCAAGCCGGTCCGAATTATACAGAGTGCACTGTATTAGGCCTATTTTAGAATATGCATCTGAGGTCTGGGATAATCGCCTTAGCTTTATTTGTGTTTAACTTGAAATGTTACAACTTGAAGCAGCAAGAATTGTAACCGGATTGCCTAAATTCTCTTCAAGATATAGTTTATACAGTGACACTGTTTGGTTACCATTGAAAGTTAGACGAACACAAAGAAAACTCTGTACATTCTGCAAAATTGTTAATATGCAAGCTCCTGATTACCTGATATATTTACTTCCACCTTTTACTGAAACCATTTCCGGATACAATTTGCGTAACAAATCAGATTTGGCTATTCCTAAATTTCGCACCTCAATTCTCCAAAAGTTATTTATTTATGATTATGCAAGCTTATGGAATGCTTTCTCCTCTACAACAAAATGTACAAATTCATTATCATCGTTTAAATCAAAGTTATCTGAAAAAATTTGACAAAGTTCCAAAATATTTTCTATATGTGAAAGAAAGACAAAATACTACACACGAAGTTAAGACATTGGTGTAGTTCATTACATGCAGTTCTTTTCGTGTTAATTTATCGGAGAGTACAGCTTGCAATTGTGGTGCTCCGGTGGAAGGTGTTAACCATTTCTTTTTAAAATGTCCAAAATTTGTCAGCTGCCGTTTTGATCTGAAGCAAGACTTTGAACTATCAAAAGTTCACTTAGACATTGATACCATTCTTTACGGCAAACCTGCTCTGACAAATACTGTCAATGAAAATTTCTTTAGTCATGTGAATAAATACATTGTACGAAGTAAGCGCTTCGATTAATGAATAATATGTCTTAAATTCATTATGTCCATTCATTACGTCCATATATTATTGTTCATGTTTCTGATGGGAGCGGGCGGTAATAATGCATTATGTTATTTTTATTTCAGTTCATACTATGACCATATCCGTCATTAAAGTGTACATATTATTCATCTTTGTTGACCTATCGACCTGTTTTGATTGGACAGATGGAGGTAAGGCCGCCAAGGCAACGACATGCGGAGTGAGTGAGTGAGTGAGGGATGGAGAGGGGGAGCGAGTATAGATGTAGGAATATTCCAATAATATCAAAATGGTTTCACGAGAAATGGGCTTCATACATTGCACCCAAGGTTATGTATTTTTACGACTGTTTTTCATAAATGTCTGGTGCAGATGTGGTATATATTCATGTTTGAATGACATTATGTAATAAAAATGCATACTGTTTTAAAAATCCTTTAAGTCAAATCTCAACTTTGGACATGACAAGCGACAGTTTTAACGACTAAACTTCACCAAACGACTAAAGTACAAACCACCACCACCACCCCACCACCCCCACCCCCCACCCCCACACCCCGTGGAAGAATCTGACTGTTGATGCGCAACTGGGTTCTTGAACGAAACCGATATACAATGGTCATTAGATGTAGTGTTTCAGAAAATCCGATGCGACGTTACATAATAACCCACTCACTCAATTCAAAATATTTGCCTGAATTTTAAATCTCAGAAAAAGAACCATTTTATTGATGTCAAAACCATTTCTTTGTACATTTTGTATGCTACCGTCCCAGCTGCCAAGCTGAAAGGGAAAACCGGAGTCCTATACTCCTTGTTGAAATTTGCTACACATATTAGTTTAATGGTGAAGGGGTGTCTATAGATGATTTTGGATGCTAAAAAGATACCTCACAGCGTTATTGCTGAGCAAAGGGTATATCCAGTGGCAATGAAACAAAAACGAGGTGTAAGTCGACAAACGCCATTTTCAAACTTCACCAGGCTGGGTGAAATGTCATCTCCTGATGACTCTTATTTATATATTGATAAACTCTCTCTCAAGGATTATCTTTATAAGTTCGCAAACAAGGAAAACAATGACACTAGGGTAGGCCCGTTGTTCGACTCGTTTCAGCTTCCACGCATGATAACCATATCCAAATAAGGAGAATAAAGTACAAACTAAACAATATTGTTAACAGTTAACAAAACCATACACACATTTAAACTGCATATATTACTTTCCCTCAAGTCTCTGTGCCCAACCCTACAATATTATTGAAATGGCAGATATCAGATGAACTGATTGGAATGACTTGTAGGTTTAGCGAGTGTTTTGTCACAGGGTAACTGTACTCGTATCCCTGGTAATTATGTGACATATCACCAAAATGTTTTGAACTTTTAAAGACCGTTTGTAATTGCATCTCTGCGTAGATTGCTGCATCCCTACTAGTAGTGGTCCATGTCACGTCATGTCATGATTGACCCCAAGAAATTTATATTCCTAACATACTAGTCATCATTTAAAGATGTGCAATTTGAAAAAAAATAAAATAAAAGAACTAAATGTTGTTTACTTTATGTTTTTGTGAAAACACAAATAACCAGGAACATTTCATAAATGACGCAAACCAAATATTTTCGATGATTAATCGGTAGTATTGAACCAATCATCAGTTATGAGATTTTAACCAATTCCCAACACTAAGCAACTAAAGTGCCTGGTAGAAGAAAGAGTACATCTGAAAATTGGATTCGACCAAATAATTACAAACGTTATCAAAACGGTTTTTAGGCTGAATACCGTCACTGTAACACTGCAAACTGGTCTGAAACACGACTCAAGTCAAAACATTGATTTCACAACAGTCTCGTTTCCTGCTGACTGGGTCCCGCCCTATTGCGCAACTTAGTACAATAACCAGTCCAGAATTGTGAGACCAATTCATATAACTGGATACATAAAAAGCAATCAGTATTATTTGATACATCTAAGCACTTGTATATTGCAACACTACGCTTCTTCTAATCCTTGAAAATATGTCGTGTAGCGTGCTCTGTCGTACAACGTGCTCTGACAAACGGAAACAGGGAAATTGTGGAAATCTCAAAACGAGGCTCTGCCGCTAGAAAAGTTTGGCGGTCTGGTACGGACTTGATATTATATTATTTACATTGGGCGTTACAGAACTACACTGAACAAGCGCAAAGAACATATAACAGGTGTAACCAGTGAGCCAGATGCATTGTAAATCATTTTACCACCTCATCAAACAGGGACAGTCTGTGACGTCTTAGTTAAGGTCATGCTGCCTACACTTCGCCATAAAATATTGAAATACACATGTACGATGTTATTAAAGTTTAAAATTCAAATTCACTTATAAATAACATATTCTTACGACACAAGGAATTGGAATTCAGTGTAACCATAGTTGTTTGTGGTGTCTCTTTTCTCTTTCACACGAGGAAATTCAGATCGGCTGAAAAGTAGGTCATTGTCTGAATAGGTTAATGAGACTCATGTTTCGGGTTGGTGAGATCTATGGGTTGTTTCATTTTAAAACACCAGCAAACACTGGTGTGAACATTCTTTTGGAAGCCAGTTTCGTTTACTTTTTTCAAAGTTCGTACTTCCATTCCAAACAATAAATTTAAACTCTTATATATCTAAAAAAGAGTCATAAGTCACACTGACTGACCCCTCGTCTATCGGTATTTGTTATCACCAGGAAACCGTTCCCATACCACCTTTTGTCGTTGTTATCTGACCTGCTGCATGTTGACTAGACGATACGATATGAGGGACTATCTAACCCCGTCTCGCGCAGGCAAGCTATTCTCGAAACGTTCGTAGCCCTACGAACTTCTTAAGCCCATTCTTAACACATTGGCTACGATCAAAGTTAAGTTATTAAAGAAAAACACACGTGCACACACGCATGTAGCGCACGCACACACACGCGCACGCACACACACACACACACACACACACACACACACACGTACGTACGTGTATCCTCACACGGTTGTACCCCATAACCCCTACATGCCACTACCCCTACACCCCAGTACCCCTACAATTAGTTAAAACAACACACTACATTTACCTGTCTGGCATAATGGACTGACCCAAAGAGAGATTAGTGCATAGAGTATACAGATGATATCAAGGGAGGGATTAATCTCTTGTTTAGTGTTTTGTGTCAAGGAAATTTGGGATTAGCTAAAAGTTGCTTTAGTTTCATGATGAAAGATAAACCTCTAGTGAGTAGAACAATTTTACAAATTGGATAGTGTGTAGGTTGTTAAATGTTGAAATTAAGTTTGTGTTAGTGCCATGATGACTGACTGACTGAGTTTGGTTTTACGCCGCTTTTAGCAATATTCCAGCAACATCACGGCGGGGGACACCAGAAATGGGCTTCACACATTGTACCCATGTGGGGATTCGAACCCGGGTCTTCGGCGTGACGAACCAACGCTTTAACCACTAGGCTACCCCACCGCCAAGTGCCATGATGAAAGATACACAGTAATATTGAGAAATGGAGGGAAATGAGAAGGTGAGATGAGAAAGTAAATTGAGATAGTTCCGTATAGTATATAGCTGTTGACAACAAACTAACATGGCATCAACATGGCTGGTCTGCGTAATGTTGAGTGTGTTATGTCACGGAGAGGTAGCCCCCAAGTCCTACTTGATGGTTATCTTAACACTTAGAATATTGAGAGACAGTCCTGTGTACACTGGATGTGTGTTCAGTCAACATGCAGAGGAAGACTCACAACTGTTGGCAATGTTGTAAGGAATACGACAGAACATGATCACCCACGAGAGGATAGTCAGAAGGTCCGTTTTGTCAGCAGCCTGAGGAAGAGAGCCAGGGAGGAGTCAACACCGATGCGCACCATCTACAACGACGTGTGTGTGTGTGTGTGTGTGTGTGTGTGTGTGTGTGTGTGTGTGTGTGTGCGTGTGTGTGTGTGTGTGTGTGTGTGTGTGTGTGTGTGTGTGTGTGTGTGTGTGTGTGTGTGTGTGTGTGTAAAGCGTTCGTTCGTCACGCAGAAGACCCGGGTTCGATTCCCAACATAGGTACAATGTGTGAAGCTTTGGTGTCCCCCGCCGAGATATTGCACATTGCTAAAACTAAACTCACTCACTCACTCTGCGGTGGGATAGTCTAATGGTTAATGCGCCCGCTGAAGCCAGGATTCGATTCCCCACATGGGTACAAAGTGTGAAGCCCATTTCTGTTGTCCCCGCCGTGATATTGTTAAAAGCGATGTAAAACTATACCCACTCACTCACTCCTCTGTACATTCCTTCAAGGTTTCCGTGACCCATGGCCATAATATAGTTTCCAAATAATGAAATCATCATTTCTCCGTATAATGTTTATATATATTAAATATCCATGTTATATAATTTCCAGTGCTGACCATTATTCTAGGGAGAAGTCAATGTTTCACACTTGTTTCCAGAAAATCATTTCCTTATATTAATCAACACAAGTCATAATTCTAGCTATATTGTATTCTATGAGGGAGTGTTTGTCTTCATCTTTCCGAGTCTCTGACACCAAAACATTCAAGATATCATTAGTGGCAGGATCATCATGTGTTCTTCTACAACAGACCCGAGAAGATCCGGGTCAGAATATTGATCATCAAGCCATGCTTGTCCTAAGAGGCGACTAATGGGATCGGGTAGTCAGGCTCTCTGACTTGGTTAACACATGTCATCGTATCCCAACTGCGTAGATCGATGCTCATGCTCATTGGGTTGTCTGGTCCAGACTGGATTATTTACAGACCGCCGCCATATAGCGGGAATATTGCTGAGTGTGGCGTAAAACTAAACTCACTCACTCACTCTTCTACAACAGTTGTAATCTTTTCCACAGGTGTGTTCATTTAAAGAGAGTATACGTGTTCGCCGTTACAAATGTCAGTATTACATTAAGTAGGTCTTGTCTAAAGATGTTCCTTTGTTCATCGTAAACATCATTATTATGAAGATAACTCATCTTGCTTTTCTTCATCAGCCCCGTCCAAACTGAAGAATATCAGCTGCGTCCTCTACGCAAAGAGGATTCTCACCTGTAATTACGACGTTCCGGACAACGTTCAACGGGACCTCACGACATGTACGGCATGTTCACAGTCGATGTAAGTAAAAATCCGCAACAATGTAACAAATTAAATGCCCCGGCGTCTAAGTTTCAATATGACATAGAGAAACACCACTGAGTAATTTACCCGTGAAGGTCCGGGTTAGAATATTGATCTTCAGCAACCCATGATTGTCGTAAGAGGCGACTAAAGGGACCGGGTGGTCAGGCTCACTGACACATGTCATCGGTTCCCAATAGCGCAGATCGATGCTCATGCTGTTGATCACTGGATTGTCTGGTCCAGACTGGATTATTTACGGACCGCCGCCATATAGCTGGAATATTGCTGAGTGCGGCGTAATGCTAAACTCACTCACTCACCACGAGTAGTTGAGATGCCTGGTTAATGTGGTATTTACGCGTGAGGGTCTCAAGTGAAACTATTTCGCATTCATTCCTAACCTTGTGTTTTAAAGGTACAGCTCAACGCAATCACATTGTCAGTTCTCGTATCCCCCAAAAGAAAATGTGAGGAATTTCGACCATTGCTTGTGGAAAGAGGCGATTAATGTGATAGGGTGTTCAGGCTCGCTGTCTTGGTTGATGCATGTTATCGTATCTTAGTGGGGTAAATCAATGCTCATGATGTAAATCACTGGATATTCTGGTCCAGACTCGCACCGCCGTCATATAGGTGCGGCGTTAAACATCAAGGAAACACAAAATCGTGGTCAAGGTTTCAATTGACGGATTCTATCCCGGATGTTGTTTCATTGTCAGAGAACTGCAGACCCCAAATGACACGTGTCCCGATGCCTTCCCAAGTTTGGCCTGCAACACGTCTGTTGGCAAATGTGTGTATGACTGTGATAGTCTGGAGTACTGTGAGTACTATCACATCTTAAACGTCACCCTAACCGGAAGTGACGACACAGAGGCAGTCTCGATGTGCGGACAGATCAGAACAGACCGACACAGTGAGTACATAGACTACATACACAGCTTTCTGTAGTATAACGATCGGGACAGGAAACACCAGAACGATGGATCTTTGGGAAAAGTTGTTACCTAAAAGTGGGGATAAATGATTCGAATTCAGAGTTTACAACAATACCCAAAAATAAAACAAAACAAAACATACTCAGGTAAAGAAAATGCATGTCATGTGCACAGACTGAAATACACTACTCCACTTTTGAAATAGTATAACGTAATCTATTCACTGATGCTGATAATTATTTCAAATGTACATTACAAGAAAACTTGACCTAGCTGTACCATTTCGTGACCAACTCGTGTTATTCCGGGACAAGCCGAATACTTCTTGCAGGTTACGGAAAGGGGCGAGTGGTGACGAATGCTAGCTGTACATGTCTTCCATCCATCGACTAGTATATCTTTTCTCTTTAAAGCACACACACACACACACACACACACAACACACACACACACACACACACACACACACACACACACACACACACACACACACACACACACACACACACACACACACACACACACACACACACACACATCGAACTCACCCCAAATAAATAAATAAATAATATAGTCCAATATATTAATCTGAAAATCAAATTCTGCTGCCCAGGACAATCCTTAATGTCAGAAAGAGAAGACTTCCTGGAGCTTTGGGAATCTAGACTTGAGTAGGGCTATTATGTATTTTTATTCTCAAGGGTCTTGGAGACAGACAATGAGCTGCATGGAACTGTTTCTCACATCTGTTTGCAGTACAACCTGGCCCAGTGAGGAACCTGAGCGTGACAGCCATAAACAGCACTACACTACACGTGGAATGGAAGAAGCCACACGACAGATACCGCTATTATGATGTTTACAGATACGTTGTCAGATACAGGGATGGAAAGAAACATGTAAGCATACGTGATTTTCAGACAAATGAAATTTGTTTTCTCCTATACCTGGAGTCAAATATGCTGAGTCAAATGGTATTAGAATTGAAATAAAGCAAAAAACACTTTTTTCATAAGACATCTCCCCTTAGAAAGTCTACCCGTGAAGATCCGGGTCAGAATATTGATCTTCAGTAACCCATGCTTGCCGTAAGAGGCGACTAACGGGATCGGGTGGTCAGGCTCGCTGACTTGGTTGACACATGTCATCGGTTCCCAATTGCGCAGATCGATACTTATGCTGTTGATCACTGGATTGTCTGGTCCAGACTCGATTATTTACAGATCGCCGCCATATAGCTGGAATATTGCGGAGTGCGGCGTAAAACTAAACTCACTCACTCACCCTTTGAGTGTCGATTGATTCCACCTATATAATGAGCATGCGTTTATGAATCACTATCATCCTCCCCCATCGGTGGCACTCGTCATAAACGCATGCAAAGGCAAGACAAGTATTTCAAAATCTTGGTAGAAAATGCATGGCCGATTGCGAATCAATAGTTGTATTGAATGTAGACAGCAAGGACTGAAACTGCTGAAATATTGCCTGACTTTCATAGAAAATTGGAACGGTTGTCCACATTGGTCTTTAAAGCGGAAATGTGGAATAATATAAAACTAAGCAAATATACTGGACAAAATAAGTTAGGGATATTGATATTTTTATGATTGATATTTTATCAATGTGTCAATGAATAAATACATCATTATTCATAATTTCAAAATATACATATATCCCTAACTATTTTTGTCCTGTATAGATTTACAGGAACGGTATGGTAGCCTGTTGGAGAGTGACTCGTTGCTCTTGGAGGCCCAGGTTCGATTCGTATAGGGGTATTACCTGTGAAGCCTATTTTAGACAACCCTTGCAATCCAAAGTTGGGACATAGCCAAAAGCGCCGTAAAACAATACTCTTGATACACAGGTCATGAAGTTAAACACCACTGACGAGGACATTGGCGTTGTGTTAACTGACCTGGTGCCACGGGGTAACTACAACATCACAGTGTGGGCTCGACCTCGCCGCTGGGGGTTCCGCAGCATTCCGCAGACAGTTTCAACATCAGTCGAAGGCAAGAATTTCATAGCTTATATTTGTAAGAAGTACCAGAACGCAGGTATGATACCAAACATTGTCACAAAATATGGCTGTAGTTTTTAAGGGGTTTAAAGCGAATTGTCGCGCTTTTTTGGCTTACTTGTCTAAGACGCCGCACATCGTGGTGCAAACTGCTGCCTCTATATCCTCTGAATGTGGGTTCGAATCCGATAATCGAAATCTTTGGTTTTTCATCACCACATTCGTACTCGTAGGTTTAAAAACTAACGTTATTTTGGTAGGATCGAAGGAAGTAGATATGTATCAGACAGTTGATGCTCATCGATCGCTCGTGAAAGTGCGAGGTAGCTATTTGAGCTGATTTAGATTTGATCTTCTGTATGCTTTCATTCATTTGAACATGATGAGCAATGCTGTTGTTTAAGATATTATGGAGGTCAACTTCTTCGTGAATGACCTGACGAAGGAAGGAAAAGCCCTTAAACTTTGTGTATACAATAATGAAGTTGACATCCACAATATTTTGTCTTATACTTGAATACGAGCTTCTATATGCCTCTCAAGAACTGCAATGTTGTTATTTGTTCAGTGTGGTATAGGTCTGCGAACACATTTATTTCGTTAAAGTCATTTATAATTATCAGAGAGGGTTATATTATTTTATTTAATAAAAAACCCACATTTGTCTTATTCATGCTTTCATTTTATAAGGTAATAACTAAATACTTTGGCATACTGCGATGGAAGGTGACACAGCACTACAATGGGTGTTATTATTGATAAACTAATGGTTATACCTTCATTGCACAATTTATACAGAAACTACATCACCTCCACAAAATAATTGTTCCAACCAATTTTTATATGTTCAAAGAACAAAGACCAACAGCCTCTTCTGATGCCAAGGGGCGACGGTGATGACGTCGGCGACAACCCAGACTGCTGTTCTCATTGTGGTCTTTGCGGCAACGTTAACTGCACTGATTGCTGTGTATGTAGAGACTGACCCAACAAAAACATTCTTGATCAGCTCTCACTTTTTTAACACTGCATCGAATATGCTAAAGTAAACAAGCATACAAAAGTCATGTCATTAACACTGTACCGTTTCGTATGCACTATTTCTCCATCCCTACCCTACCCTGCGGTTAAAGCGTACGCTTGTCACTCCGAAGTCCCGGGTTTGATTCCCCATATGGGTACAATGTGTAGACCATTTCTGGTGTTCCCCGCCGTAATATTGATGGAATATTGCTAAAAACGGCGTAAAACCAAACTCACTCACTCTTTCCAATTTGTCTTTTTCTTAGAAGAAATATGTTGGTTCTAATCATGCTCATAAAAACCATAATTTAATCATTATCATACCTTTCATTTTGGATAGAGGTGCGGTCTTCATTAAGAATCGAATGATATTTGAACGCATCGCGATCACTCTACCAAAGATGATGCCGTTCCCTGTATTCGAGGAAAGTGGAACTTCATTTGTACAGGTGGGCGCTGAGCTTCTGTGCGTGATCCACGTGAGGGCAGATCCCTGGAGGCATTCGTGACCAACTCGTGTTATTCCGGGACAAGTCTTCTTGGAGGTTACGGAAAGTGGCGAGTGGTGACGAATGCCCTGGAGGGTGTGTTCAGCATGAATTGCATAGATTCTGTTTGTTGTTTAACGCCGCACTCAGCCATAGTCCAGCTATACTGCGGCGGTATATAAATAATCGAGTTTGGACCAGACAATCCAGTGATCAACAGCATGAGCATCGATCTGCGCAATTGGGATGTGATGACATGTTTCAACCAAGTCAGCAAGCCCACCCGATCCCGTTAGTCGCCTCTTACGACAAGCATGGGTTGCGGAAGAACAATTCTGACCCGGATCTTCACGGGTGTGCATTGTATAGACGACCCAGGGTTTCAGGATGGAAATGTACAATGTTCAGTCTTGGTGTCTCGTACCAAAGAATTAGTGGTCAGCGTCCATTGAACATCCCTGCACAAGAGCTGCTACCTACCAGAGAAGTGTTCCATCTCTAATTATTATATAGGATATTTACAAAACAGCGAGAATTCAATGATGTTTTGGGGAAGCATGGGGATCATAAAGGATCTTCATACGTATGTTAACGTTGTTCATAGGTTATCAGGGGGCGGTGGGGTAGCCTAGTGGTTAAAGCGTTGGCTCGTCACGCCGAAGACCCGGGTTCGAATCCCCACATGGATACAATGTGTGAAGCCCATTTCTGGTGTCCCCCGCCGTGATGTTGCTGGAATATTGCTAAAAGCGGCGTAAAACCAAACTCAGTCAGTCAGTCATAAGTTATCATACATGTTAGAGACTAAAATATGGAATTGTTTTGTTTGTTTACCCTCACACTCAGCACTATTCCAACCCTTTGTCGGTGGTTTGTAAATAATAAATAATCCAACGTGGACTAAAATGGCATAATGGGCATCAGTCCTTGACTGGGCTCCTGTTTACTCATTTGAGTAAGCGTGTGTCGCTTACCAACAGCGGAACTAGTTTAAAGTCCACACAGCTGGGATCAGCCAATCGTTTGACAGGCAATCAGCCAATTCACAGAGCCTGAACACCCGACCCATTTAGCATCGTTCCCCTCTCAAAGATAGCTTGGGATCCATATCCATACTTGAAATATCAACGATTTATTGAATTTTAAGAGGTTGTTGCAGTTGTCTTAGTAGAAATATATGTCAATACGTCTTCTTATGTCATAGCAGGTATCCCGCGGATGCAGAAATGAAGCTGACTTTACCGGATTTACAGCCAAGAAAGGTGACCCATGTAAAGATGACCCCACTTTTGTAAGGTGCCCCAACACAGATGTGTCCCTGGAATGTGAAATGCAGCAACAGGATTGTAGAAAAACGTCAGCGGACGGAGGTGTGAAGTCAGGTTCGTGGCTTCACGGGAATGACGTCGACTCTGACGCAACATCCGGGGATAAGCCTGAACTCATGGAGACATGGTCCTACTCCACGGACAGCAAGATGTCGGCCTATAGCTACAGACAGGTTACATTAGACAGTGGTTGTCCTTGGACTGTTTATAACTCATGAATCTCGGGTATTTACCTGGAATGATCTTGCCAGTTCTCACTGCTCTAACAATCACCCTCCTCAATGCCATCCCCTGAAATCGCCAGTTATTTTGTTTAATCACCCAGTAAGCAATATTTCTGTTATATAATGATCCCATGGTTATATGTTTGTTGCTTAACGCTGCACTGCATTCTATAAAAAAACGTATACCCTGGAGATTATCGAGGATGGTTGCAATAGACTATAGCTATAGTTATAGTTATAACGCGCAATAGTTGTTTCCCCCTAAATATTAACCCCTATTATATTCCCATGAAGATAAAACAGAAAGATCTTACCTGTTATAGAAATGGGATCACCGCACGACAGTTGACTATAGTCTGTTGTTTTGTGGTTGTACCTTCAAAGCATCATGTAATGCCCTAAACATTGCACTAAACCTGTTTAACCTAGGATGAACAACGAGAGAGAACTATTTCTTTAACTTTGGTCCTGAAGGAAAGAGCAAATTTAAAGTGACCTTGACCTTCCACAACAAGACAAACGTGTCGCAGACATCAGATGTGTTCATTATTCATTTTAGGGTTAATGTGGGTTGTGTTTATGGATTTAACGCTCCCACTATTTTGTACAGGCTACGTTTAGTAAAGTTTTCACTTCCCTTCGTGGTATTTGGATGTTATCGTCCTACATGGAAGACGAAACGAGTTAACAACTGGGCCATATCACAGGTTTCGTTTTTAAGATTAATTGAGGAAGTTATCAAATTCTCCTTGAGAAATAATCTGCGATTCCGACTATAGAATAATCACCGTAAATAGACGTTTTCAGAGAAACACGCGGGTAAAGGGTAGAGACAATCGTGAAATAATACTGCGCAGCATTTAATGTGGATATTCAGAGTGTAGGATCTGATTGTGTGAGGTTGGCTGATGGGAGATGGCCATGTATGTAGTCTCCCGTAATGTCATGCAAGTGGAGCACCTTCACGTTCTGTTAACGTTAAAGTTACAAAACGATACAGGTGCATGCAGTTATTATTATTATTTTATTATAGGATATATTTATATATATTATATAGTGCACATATCCACAACCAGTACATGCTCAAGGTGCTGGTATTTTTTTCCTGTTTAAGTGAGTGTGTGAGTATGGTTTTACGCCGCTTTTAGCAATATTCCAGCAATATCACGGCGGAGGACACCAGAAATGGGCTTCACATATTTGTACCCGTGTGGGGGAATCGAACCCGGGCCTTCGTCGTGACGAGCGGACGCTTTAACCACTAGGCTACCCCACCGCCCCTCCTGTTTAAGGAACAGTATGAAATATTCAAATATCCCTCTGTAATGTTGAGTAGGCTATATTTCTTGAAGATTTCCCTTTTCTTGATATGCGGATACAACTGTTTGATGATCTTTGTTGGCTAGTCCATTATAGTGGTGTTCGCCTGATTGGTTGTAACCTGCATGGTCCACAGTGTATCTCATGTGTACAAAGGTAAACAATATTCAGGTACAACTTCCCTCAGTGGTTAGTCAAGATCCAAACAGACCACCGCGAATCAACACATCTGCGGTCACATCTTTCTACTACTGGCGTCACCGGGCTGTAACAGGGTAGATGACCTCATTTGGGGAACCCGTGAAGATCGTGAACCCGTGGTCTTCAGTAATCCATGCTTGTCGTAGAAGGCGACTAAAGGGATCGGGTGGTCAGGCTCGCTGACTTGGTTGACACATGTCATCGTATCCTAATTGCGTAGATCGATGCTCATACTGTTGATCACATAGGAGTCACGAATAGTGTGAGGTGTAAAACAGGGAATGTAGCCGAAGCCAGTATTGTTCATATTGTATCATAAAACATTGATTTTTTTATTATGAGAAAATTGTTTTATTGACTAAATTTGTTTGCTATTGAAGTAGCGACATAATACTGTTTCCTTTTACGTCAAAGTTCTGTTCCATTTGTAATATAGTTCTGTTTGGACAAAAGGTCTGCAGTTGGTTATAACACTTAATGTTTGCGTATGTAATATGCATTTTTACACATTGCCGTTTTGTTGTTAATTGTCCAGCTCGCAGCTCTACTTTTTACAAAAGTACTAAATTTTAAAAAAAATGTGAAATTCGTCAAAGTAATTAGAGACACTGAAACTTCTGACACTGTCTTCACCAAAACATTTTTTTCTCATCGAGTGTGTTTGTGTTGATATGACTTTCTGAATTGCTTTTTGTCGATATAGCTAATAAAAGTTTGCGCTTATACTGTAATTTTCTGTTATATTTGTAATAGTTTACGACAAACATGGAAAGTGCCTACTTGACAGTCCAAGACGACCATATGGCCTAACCAGGTTGCTACTCCCGTTAGCTGTGGAGATTTAATTTTACGCTGCCTTCAACAATATCCCAGCAATATCACGACACGCATGAGTTGCTGGAGACGAATTCTGATCTGGATAGCATATGGTATACGTATGGGCATGGCACGTTGTCGCCTGTTAGTACAAGCATAATTAGTTTGTTTGAAATCAGATCTAGCATCCAATCACATAGGATACAATTTAGGCGCCTCTCAAGATTGGAAATAGGGCACATCGTGGACAGAGACATCATGGTTCTACCAAGCTACCCACCTGGCCATAAAACATAGGAACATTATACGAGGACACAGGTGACACCAGGAACATTATACGAGGACATAGGCTACACTAGGAACATTATACGATGACACAGGTGACACCAGGAACATTACACGAGGACATAGGTTACACTAGGAACATAATACGAGGACACAGGTGACACCAGGAACATTATACGAGGACACAGGTGACACTAGGAACATTATACGAAGACACAGGTGACACCAGGAACATAAAATGAGGACAGAAGTTAACCAAGGACATTACACAAATATATCAGTTAAACCGGGAACATTCCCCCATCCCACCTGGAACAACATGCAGGAACATTCCACGAGGACATCAGTAGCACCAGGAACATTCCACGAGGACATCAGTTACACCAGGAACATTACACGAGGACATCAGTTACACCAGGAACATTGTTCAAGGACATCAGTTACACCAGGAACATTCCACGGGGACATCAGTTACACCAGGAACATTCCACGAGGACATCAGTTACACCAGGAACATTACACGAGGACATCAGTTACACCAGGAACATTACACGAGGACATCAGTTACACCAGGAACATTACACGAGGAACATCAGTTACACCAGGAACACTACACGAGGACATCAGTTACACCAGGAACATTACACGAGGACATCAGTTACACCAGGAACATTACACGAGGACATCAGTTACACCAGGGACATTACGAGGACATCAGTTACACCAGGAACATTACACGAGGACATCAGTTACATCGAGAACATTACACGATGATCAAAGACCATATATACCGATATGGTCTCTGACGATGATGAACCAGCATCACGCAGAGGTTGCTACACCATGACTACTATTCGTTTTAAGAGTAATCGTCCCGTGAAAAAAAAAGAAGAGAATATAGATGTTAAGTTGAAATAATTCATCATATCACCAAACAAGTGTAGATCCGGGTTAGAATTTGTCTTCGATTATTTACAGAGCATATAGATGGAATATTGGTGAGTGCGGCGTTAAGAGCAACCAAACCAAACAAAAACAATGATCAACAAACAACAAACAAACAAACGAAACGTCTAAATATTGATTAGAACCTCTCGCAACAGCTAGTAAGTTCTTTCACGAGCTATTAAGCTGTTACAAAATTTTGATAGTTTGAGCTTTTGACAGTGTCGCGTGTAACTTAAAAATCCAATCCATATGATTCCCTTTTCGTTTGTAAACGCAGATTATTCCACATTTTGACAAAACCGAACACACAGATCACAAAATGCATTTCGTAAACAAAGGGGGCTAACTGCTGATGGGTTTGTAAATATATGCACGTGTTTAGTGACCGAACACGATCATGGTAGGACACTTGAGGTCAGGGGATTTTTCTGATGAAATGCAGGTTCTGACTGATAGATTTCAGCTAGTGGTCGTTTGTACCTAGCATTCAAATACAATGTTGTCGAAACTGAGCGTATTTGCGAAGAGATCGTTCAGCAAGCACCTGTTGTTGACAAATATAGCCACTTACAGTTCCTTACTGGCTCTCGGAGACTGTTTTGTGCAAACCATCGAACGTCATGCCACCGATGGCGAGAAGCAACCTTATAACTATCACAGAACGGGTAGTGTATATATTTCATATAAGCCTAATATTTGTCATAGCAGTACGCATATAGACGGTTACATAAATCACGAGAATATTACATATGGAGGCAACAGCTGATGTGTGCACATAACGTTATATATAAATCACCATAAATTATGCCTAGGGTGTGTATGTGTGTATGTGTGTGATGATGATGATGATGATTTTAAGGAGAAGCATATACAATGTGAATGCCCCCCCCTCCCCAACCACCACCACCACCACCAAAAAATAAATAAAAAATTATGTACAAAGTAAGTGACCCCCCTGCTTGTCATGTACAAATCCATCAGCCCACCGACCCCCTTCCCTTAATTTTTAAGCATAGTTTTAAATTATTTTTTTGATACTTAAATGATGACACACACCCCCACCCCCAGTTAATTTGTACAAAATTGATGACCCCTACTACCTCTCCAGAACAATATGGGTGACCCCCTTAAAATCATCATCGCGCCCCATAGCCATACATTATGATCAGTCCCTTAGTGTTTTAGAATAGAAATGAAGCAGGATTGCCAAGTGAGAGGTGACAGGGTTGACTGATGCCACAGGTGCTGCGACATAGTTGATGGCCTGACAGTGTGCAAGGATGTCATTGATGCTCAGCATATCAATCACTGGATTATTTCCAGGCTGTTGGCAGTCACTTAGCTGGAAGTTTGCTCAGTGTACTGGGCTAGGCTAGTGGGTCATGTGTTTCCTTATCAAATAGCCAGGTTCTATCCCCACAATGTCTGAAGCCCATTTGTAGAGTCCCCATGTGTGATATGAAATATTTCCTGAAAGTGATTGAAAACACAACTTAAATTACTATCCATCAGTAGCTTGTGTGGCTGGGGATTATGAAAAGCATTGTCAAACTAACTGATTGAATTAAAATCATGTCACCACTGATAGTAATGATCACAGCTAACCACTAGTAATAAGGCCAAATAGAATTTTGTATAATTGTACAATTATGTGTTACAGGTCGTGTGTTTATTGCGAGTGTGGCCCTGGGACCTCTGAATGATGTATAATTGTGTGTTACAGGTCGTGTGTTCATCCTTGGTGTGGCTATGGGACCTCTGAATGATGTATAATTGTGTGTTACAGGTCGTGTGTTCATCCTTGGGGTGGCTCTGGGACCTCTGAATGATGTATAATTGTGTGTTACAGGTCGTGTGTTCATCCTTGGGGTGGCTCTGGGACCTCTGAATGATGTATAATTATGTGTTATAATTGATGTATGATTATGTGTTACAGGTCGTGTGTTCATCCTTGGGGTGGCTCTGGCACCTCTGAATGATGTATAATTGTGTGTTACAGGTCGTGTGTTCATCCTTGGGGTGGCTCTGGGACCTCTGAATGATGTATAACTATGTGTTACAGGTTGTGTGTTCATCCTTGGGGTGGCTCTGGCACCTCTGAATGATGTATAATTATGTGTTACAGGTGGGTGTGTGTTCATCCTTGGGGTGGCTCTGGGACTGAATGATGTATGATTATGTGTTACAGGTAGGTGTGTTCATCCTTGGGGTGGCTCTGGGACCTCTGAATGATGTATAATTATTATTGTTACAGGTAGGTGTGTTCATCCTTGGGGTGGCTCTGGGACCTCTGAATGATGTATAACTAATATGTGTTACAGATTGGAGTGTGTTCATCCTTGGGGTGGCTCTGGCACCTCTGAATGATGTATAATTATTGTGTTACAGGTCATGTGTTCATCCTTGGGGTGGCTCTGGGACCTCTGAATGATGTATAACTATGTGTTACAGGTCGTGTGTTCATCCTTGGGGTGGCTCTGGCACCTCTGAATGATGTATAATTGTGTGTTACAGGTCGTGTGTTCATCCTTGGGGTGGCTCTGGCACCTCTGAATGATGTATAATTGTGTGTTACAGGTCATGTGTTCATCCTTGGGGTGGCTCTGGCACCTCTGAATGATGTATAACTGTGTGTTACAGGTCATGTGTTCATCCTTGGGGTGGCTCTGGCACCTCTGAATGATGTATAACTATGTGTTACAGGTCGTGTGTTCATCCTTGGGGTGGCTCTGGCACCTCTGAATGATGTATAATTATGTGTTACAGGTCGTGTGTTCATCCTTGGGGTGGCTCTGGCACCTCTGAATGATGTATAATTGTGTGTTACAGGTCATGTGTTCATCCTTGGGGTGGCTCTGGCACCTCTGAATGATGTATAACTATGTGTTACAGGTCGTGTGTTCATCCTTGGGGTGGCTCTGGCACCTCTGAATGATGTATAACTATGTGTTACAGGTCGTGTGTTAATCCTTGGGGTGGCTCTGGCACCTCTGAATGATGTATAGTTATGTGTTACAGGTCGTGTGTTCATCCTTGGGGTGGCTCTGGCACCTCTGAACCATGTGTGGTACAAGCTGTTGGACAAGGTGATCAAGGGGACAGGCGGGAAGGTGGCTGCCAAGAAGATACTCACTGAACAGTTCTCAGCTGCCCCATTCTTCTGTTCAGCTTATATTACAGGTTGGAAGGAATGAATGTGTGAATGTTGTTTTTACATCACAGCACTGAATGGCTGGTGTGCGTGATCAAGTGTGGAGCTGGGAAACCACTGACAGTATCCTCATGGTCTACAGACACACTGACTAAGATAAACCACGTTTCTCCAATGGACGTGACAAGATTCATACACCGAGCTACGCTGCCCTATCTCTTTAGGGAGTGGTGAGGTAGCCTTGTGGTTAAAGCGTTTGCTTGCCTCACTGAAGACCCAGGTTCCTTTCCTCATGTGTACAAGTTGTGAGGCCCATTTCCGGTCATATTGCTGGGGTATTGCTAAAAGTGGTGTGAAACATGACTATTCTGCCCTCAGAGTGAGTTAGTTTGGTTTTACGCCGCTTTTAGCAATATCCCAGCAATATCGATGAGGACACCAGAAATGGGTTTCACATTATTGTACCCATGTGGGGAATCGATCCCGGGTCTTCGGAGTGACGAGCGAACGCTTCAACCACTAGGCTACCCCATCTCCCCTTTTCTGCCCTCAGATTTATGAATGAAGGAATTTCATATCAGTACTATTCCCAGGGCAGCTACATATTCTTGCAGCCTTGTACAAATTTCCAAAGTTCCCCAGTCTTTTAACATTACATGAGCATTTTATCTTGACAGGCAATCTTCACAACTTTGTAAATAGTTTCATTCAGAAAGTATTTGCAGTGTGATAATTAGATTAAAATTTAACTTAAGATGCAACCGTATGTGTGTAAATGTTTACATTTAATTGTGACCTGACTGTTGCAGGTATTGGTGCCCTAGAGAGAAAAAGTGGACGTGAAATTTATCAAGAATTGAGCGAGAAGTTTCTTTTTATCTACCTCGTAAGCTTAGTGCTTAGTTTTTAGTATTCATGTCAAAGGGCTAATGATTAAAGACCCTTTATTTTATTTTATTTTATTTTCATCATCTGTGCAATTAGCTGATGAAGGATGTGATTCACATAGAGCATGAACGTTTGCTAGGACTGCCTGTACAGGGTGTGGGGTGTGTGTTGTATTGGGCGATGGGGTAGCCTAGTGGTTAAAGCGTTTGCTCACCAAAGACCCGGGTTGGATTTCTCACATGTGTGCAGTGTGTGAAGCCCATTTCTGGTGTCCCACGCAGTAATATTGCTGGAATATTGCTAGAAGCAGTGTAAAATCATACTCACTCAATCACTCACTCACTCACTGTAGAGAGTTTTTCCCCTATTAAGGGAAACAGAATGTCCATATCTCTTTTGTTCTGCAGTTGCATGAGGACATTGAGGAAAATCCAGGTTGCTTGTTACAGCCTTATTTATGAAATACTCTGTTTGGAAATGAGACTAATGTAACATCTGCATGAAAACGGTTACAGCTGGTTTTCAACAACCCATGCATGTTGTAAGAGGTGGCTAACCAGATCGTATTGATGACACGCCATTCAGACATGTCATTCAGACATTTAAAAGAATGATTGACATGCAAGAAATTTTGATGTTCTGATGTTAGCTTCAGGTACTCAACTGATATTTGGTTGCTATATTTTCAAAGCCAGTTGAAGCCACTTTTTGTCTTGTGAAACCTTAGCCTCAGACCTAGGATGAAGTCTTGTACTTGTTCATGCTGTTAAAAATACAGAAGCTGTATACATATCCAGTTGCATGTATAAGTGAGTTAATAATGAAAATGTTCTTTTTTCTCCAGGTTGACTGGTTTGTGTGGCCGCCAGCACAGTTCATCAACTTCTACTTTCTGCCAACACAATACCGTGTTGCATATGTTTCTGTACTGACGCTATGCTGGAACTGTTTTCTGTCCTATATTAAACACAAGGTAGGCAATAGAATTCCCATGGTATGCTGGAACTGTTTTCTGTCCTATATTAAACACAAGGTAGGCAATAGAATTCCCATGGTATGCTGGAACTGTTTTCTGTCCTATATTAAACACAAGGTAGGCAATAGAATTCCCATGGTATGCTGGAACTGTTTTCTGTCCTATATTAAACACAAGGTAGGCAATGGGAATTCCCATGGTATGCTGGAACTACTTTCTGTCCTATATTAAACACAAGGTAGGCAATAGAATTCCCATGGTATGCTGGAACTGTTTTTCTGTCCTATATTAAACACAATGGTATGTAGGCAATAGAATTCCCATGGTATGCTGGAACTGTTTTCTGTCCTATATTAAACACAAGGTAGGCAATAGAATTCCCATGGTATGCTGGAACTACTTTCTGTCCTATATTAAACACAAGGTAGGCAATAGAATTCCCATGGTATGCTGGAACTGTTTTCTGTCCTATATTAAACACAAGGTAGGCAATAGAATTCCCATGGTATGCTGGAACTGTTTTCTGTCCTATATTAAACACAAGGTAGGCAATAGAATTCCATGGTATGCCGGAACTGTTTTCTGTCCTATATTAAACACAAGGTAGGTAATAGAATTCCCATGGTATGCTGGAACTACTTTCTGTCCTATATTAAACACAAGGTAGGCAATAGAATTCCCATGGTATGCTGGAACTACTTTCTGTCCTATATTAAACACAAGGTAGGCAATAGAATTCCCATGGTATGCTGGAACTACTTTCTGTCCTATATTAAACACAAGGTAGGTAATAGAATTCCCATGATAAGCTATAACTGCTTTCTATGCTACATTAAAGCATCTTGAACTGTTTTCTGTCTATATTAAATAGAGGAGAGATGCTGGAACTACTTTCTGCCCTAAGGCTCAAAGAATCAGATGCATGTTCTGGAACTGTTTCTGTCCTATATTAAACACCAGGAAGGCAATAGTGTTGCCCTGATATGCTGGAACTGTTTTCTGTCCTATATTAAACACAAGGTAGGCAATAGTATTGCCCTGATATGCTGGAACTGTTTTCTGTCCTATATTAAACATTAGGTAGGCAATAGAATTCCCATGGTATGCTGGAACTACTTTCTGTCCTATATTGAACACAAAGTAGGTAATAGCATTCCCATGATCAGCTATAACTGCTTTCTGCTTTTGTTATGTGCGAAAATACGACAAACCAATCAAAACGCGCGTAAATGACCGCGGTGCTTTGATAAAAATAATCCTGAGTACTTAAATCGTTTATGGCATTATGGCATTGTTTAAAAAATCATGGAAAATATATATCGCCATATTGAAAGTACAAAGAACATAGTTAACAGGATTTTGCTGCCTATTATGAAGTTTTTAATAAGAATCGGTGAGAGATTCAAATACACACACGTGCATTTGTTGACATAACGGCTCTCATGGGTCCAACTGAGTGTATTTCTGACGACCTTGCGGGCTTGTTATGGAGATTGTACGTGCACTTCCAACAATTTTAGGAAATGTAATTATAAATCGCTACGAGTTTCAAAACAATAATATTATATTTGTATGTAACTAATCAACTTTAATCTCAAACATTGGGCTTATATTTCACATCTCTGGGGATATTTTAGTCTGACTATTTTTTTGGTCATTCATATTTTTTTCAGCGAATTCATTTAAAATTCCACAAGGGGTATGACAGCAAGATTACACGAATGTTCAGTTTGAGAAATATTTTAAAGTCATTCTTGAGTATGTGCTTTGGGATTTAATGTAGCTGAAATTTTTAAACTTTTATTGATTGGCATATTCAATAAAACAATTCCCATTTGTGATTAGTAAATCCTAATTGGAAATATAAGGTTAACAGCTGGTAATAATTACATTAGAATATGTCTTTAACAAATATGTTTTTCTCCTTCTATTAGTTGTATCAAAGAGGTTTAATTCTTTAAAATAAATACATGTAAGTAAACAAACCCCCAAGACAACAACCTCGCAATACAATGTACATTTGCTTCGGTGATAATTAAGAAACATTGGAATCAAACAGGGATAGATGTAGTATTGCCCTGATATGCTGGAACTACTTTCTGTCCTATATTAAACACAAGTTAGGCAAAAGTATTGCCCTGATATGCTGGAACAGCTTTCTGTCCTATATTAAACACAAGTTAGGCAATAGTATTGCCCTGATATGCTGGAACAGCTTTCTGTCCTATAGTAAACACAAGTTAGGCAATAGTATTGCCCTGATATGCTGGAACTACTTTCTGTCCTATATTAAACACAAGTTAGGCAATAGTATTGCCCTGATATGCTGGAACAGCTTTCAGTCCTATATTAGACACAAAGAAGGTAATATTATTGCCCTAAGCCTCAAAGATTCTGATATTGTTCTGGAACTGCTTTCTGTCCCATGTCAATACAAGGTAGGTACCTCTATCATTCTCTGTCATGGTCTGAAGGGCACCTACCAGGTCAACACATATGTTTAAGTGAACACACTTATGTTAATACCTCTATGAGCGCAAAAACAAAGATATCAATTTTGAAAGTGTTTACCGGTATTTGTTTACAGAACCCAGAACCAGTTCCTCATCTCACAGAGAAATCCGAGAAATGTGACTGATGACTAAAACAGACATGGCTTCATTCCATCTCAGGAATACCGTATTTCATCTAATAAGCACCTGGATGCCTATTTTGTCAACAGAGTTCCAGACCCGGTGCTTATTAGAGGCCTGGTGCTTTTGCACTTACTGGGTCTAATTACAGTAATTGTTAGTGAGCTGCTGTACACCCGGCACTTATTAGAAACCCGGCACCTATTAGAGGACCAGCTTATTAGAGGAAATATGGTATATGCTCATAATGCTCTTCAGCCTTCCAAGAGTCACAACTGTGTCACATTCAAGGCACAAGATCTATTTGCTCAATCAGAATTTGCTGAGTGGATTAAAATGTGGTAAAATTAATATCTGGCTTCAATTTGTCCATTCCCATTACAAATCAAGCCAGTTAGTTAACTACTGGCTTCCCTTGTTGTTATCCTATCACTGTTGTTGTTTCACATAGATTTATATAGCTATATGTGTCCTAGTTTTTTCTCTCATCTGATAAAGGCGTAAGAATATACTCTGAAAGGTATATTCTGAAACCTGTTCCTCAAGGGGCGGTGGGGTAGCCATGTGGTGAAAGCATCACTCGTAAGACCCGGGTTTGATTCCCCACATGGGTACAATGTGTGAAGCCCATTTCTGGTGTCGACAGCCATGATATTGCTGGAATATTGCTGAAAGCAATGTAAAACAGCTAAATTAACTCACTGTGTTCCCCAAATAAAATTCTCGCCTCTATTTTCTATTTACTGAAGTAAACATTATGACGATTAAAGTCAACATGGCCAGTGGATACTTCCGTATAGGAAATATCCATTTCCTTGGTCTTTGTCAATCAAAAGAAACATTACATGAGACTGCCCATTTAAATGTATGTGATATTCTCGTATATTGTTATTTGCAGTGCGTGTGTGAATATTTTATGTATGTGTACCGCTGCCAGTATTTTATATCTGCTGAAGGTGTAAATGCTCTCAATGTATTTTAAATGTTCTTTGAATGTGTGGAATGATATCCCAGTGAAAGATCTTCTTTACACTATCCCTGCCTGTTGAAATGTGTCAAAAGAAAATGGTTGTGTTTTGCAAATAACATTGTTATACCTGCTGGTTAAAAGCAATAAACAGATTAATGAAATGGTAGTCCCTGTTTTGTGAGACCGCCTCCGTGGTGTAGTGGTTAGAGCGTCAGCCCAGAGAGCGGAAGGTCGCGGGTTCGATCCCGACCGTGTCATACCAAAAGACGTTAAAATATGGTACTTGTTGGTCCCTGCCTGGCGCTCGGCATTAATGGGTACAACAAGGACTGGTAGGCTCGGAGTGATTATAATGTGTCTTAGTGGGATATTCATGCTTCACTGGGGCATGGTATCTCAGTGGGCTAGTACTATAAAACCAGCTTCAGTCTGGGCTAGTACACACATACACACGCATGCACGTCGTCATATGAGCGAAATATTCTCAAGCAGGGTGCCGTTCCACTAACCGATCTTAGCCCTATGCCAATCGTAAACCCCTAAAATCCCAATCTTAGCGTGACGTTACGATCGGCATACCGTTCCACTAACCAATCTTACCTAAGTCAATCGTAAAGTTAAGATTCAAAGTCTAAGTTGCTCATGACCAACTTAGGATAGCTAAAATCAATCGTAGAGAAACCAAAATGGTGGCTTTCTATTCTATGTGAAAAATAAGAGCGAGCATTTCACCGTGAGCGTCCCCTAAAATCCCCCATGAAATGAATTTGTATATTTCTGTGATGTAAACAAACACTGCACTGAAGCCTTACAAATGTCAGGCCAGTCTGACCACTGTCGTCATGGGAACACAACCGAGCGAGTCGGTGTGACACATTTGTACAACAATATTGCAACGTCATGGTTAAGAATAACGACAGCCGTGAAGTGAACAATGTTCTGAAGCAAAAAGATACAAATATGTTTGATTTCACTGCGCATATTTGGTGGGGGATTCTAAAGGCAAGCCGCGTGTGATTCAAGATTAAATTACATTTGTGACGCCATTCCATTGTCTGCTCGCTCCATTACTTTTCAGGAATGGAGCGATGTGTACCAGCTTCAAATTAAAGACTTCATTTTGTCATTTTGACATATAACTTTGATAACAGAAATATTCCCAATACTTTGAATGTAATTTAAGTAGGGTAATATCCTCGTAACTCTCCATTCCTTAAAAACAATGCCTCTCGCACGAAAGAGTCTCGATCTAAGCTTGGATCGGATCGTAAGATCGGGACCGGCTACGATCGGCCTAAGATCGGTTAGTGGAACGGGTGTAACTTTTAGCTAAGACGATTGTAAAATTGGCGTAACTTGCTAAGATTGATCTTAGATAAGATCGGTTAGTGGAACGGCACCCAGGACGTTGAACCCAATTTCACCTCACCTCACCTCACCTCACCTCACCTTTAATTAGTGAATTGTCTTCTGAAGGAACAGGGGCAGTGGGGAAGCCCAGTGGTTAAAGCGTTCGCTCCTCACGCGGAAGACCCGGGTTCGATTCCCCACATGGGTACAATGTGTGAAGCCCATTTTTTGTGTCCCACCTTGATATTGCTGGAATATTGCTAAAAGCGGCATAAAACCAAACTCACTCACTCTCAAGGAACATATCACATTAATTGAATTGTCACATTAAAAACATTTTTAAGATCTTGTAGCATACGAAAGTGCAGCTCTTGGTTCAATTTCCAGATTGAGGGATCGATGTTCAAGCTGTTGATCATTGGTTTGTCTGGTCCAGACTTGATTATTTACAGACTGCCGGCCCATGCCTGTCCTAAGAGGCAACAAACGGGATCGGGTTTTCAGGCCCGCTGACTTGGTTGGCACATGTTATCGGTTCCCAATTGTGTAATTCTATGTTCATGCTGTCGATTACTGGATTGTCTGGTCCAGACTCGATTATTTACAGACCGCCGTCATATAGCTGGAATATTGCGGAGTGCGGCGTAAAACTAAACTCACTCACTCACGGACTGCCGCCATATAGTTGGAACAACCCAACCAACCAACCAGATTAAGGGGAATATATTTTATGTGTGGTTCACTGAATTCAAAGATCAAAAGTCAATTTCTATTTACTTATGGAGGCTGAAGGGTAACATAGTGGTTAAAGCTATCGTCACTCCGAAGACCCGGTTTCCATTCTCCACAATGTGTGAAGCCCATTTCTAGTTTCCCCGCATTGATATTACTGGAATATTGCTAAAAGCGGCATAAAACTTTACTCTTTGCTTTTCGGATGATAACTTTTTCAAATAGGCATATTAGTTACCATTGTGGATGTATGTCAGCAACCCATGCTTGTGTTGGATATTTTTAACATGTTGGATGTACGGAAAACGAAAGTCGCTTTCCGGGTTAGAATTGGTACGTCAGCAACCCATGCTTGTCGCAAGAGGCGACTAACGGGATCGGGTGGGCGGGCTCGCTAACTTGGTTGACACATGTCATCGTATCTCAGTTGCGTAGCTCAGTGCTTATGATGTCTAGCATTAGTGTGTCTGGTCCAGACTCAAGTACTCACACACCGCCGTCATCATTCGTGACCATCTCATGTTATTGCGGGACAAGCCGAATAGCGGGTTACGGAAAGGGGCGAGTGGTGACGAATGCGCCGTCATACATCTGGAACTTCGCTGAGTGCAACGTTAAACAACAAACAGACTTACCTTATCAACAGTGGGTTGTAAATATTTTACGACCGTTTCAGTAACAGTGGAAGCAGACGACTAACATTGCTGGTCAGGTGTTGGGAAGGTATACATCCTCCCGCTCTGTCTTCCATGTATCTGACAATACCCGCGAAAGTGTAGTCCGACGATATTTGGAAGCGTTGAAGTGGCCGATGTTACTTGTAAAGTGTGTCATTGGCTGTAATAACTGTTACACACACAATCTCTCATATTCATAAGAATCATCTTGAACGTTTCTTTCCGGAACAGTTAAACTCGCTGTCATTCCCTGTCATTCCCCTTGAGTGCCTGCGTCAGTTAGAGCAGATTTTTCACAGGAGGACCTCTAGCTCGGGCTTGGTGTCAAAGTCCCAGAGACAGGGGTTCATATCGGGCCATGGTAGTGATTCCATGACTGTCCCAGAGACAGGGGTTCATATCGGGCCATGGTAGTGATTCCATGACTGTCCCAGAGACAGGGGTTCATATCGGGCCATGGTAGTGATTCCATGACTGTCCCAGAGACAGGGGTTCATATCGGGCCATGGTAGTGATTCCATGACTGTCTCAGAGACAGGGGGTTCATATCGGGCCATGGTAGTGATTCGATGACTGTCCCGAGAGACAGGGGTTCATATCGGGCCATGGTAGTGATTCCATGACTGTCCCAGAGACAGGGGTTCATATCGGGCCATGGTAGTGATTCCATGACTGTCTCAGAGACAGGGGTTCATATCGGGCCATGACAGTGATTCGATGACTGTCCCAGAGACAGGGGTTCATATCGGGCCATGGTAGTGTTTCGATGACTGTCCCAGAGATAGGGGTTCATATCGGGCCATGGTAGTGTTTCGATGACTGTCCCAGAGACAGGGGTTCATATCGGGCCATGACAGTGTTTCCATGACAGTCTCAGAAACTGCAATGAGATCTTGCAGTCATACTTGAGTCACCATCATCACGACGTCAACATACGGGTGAGTGAGTGAGTTTAGTTTTACGACGCACTCAGCAATATTCCAGCTATATGGTGGCGGTCTGTAAATAATCGAGTCAGGACGAGACAACCCAGTGATCAACAGCATGAGCATCGATCTGCGCGATTGGGAACCGATGACATGTGTCAACCAAGTCAGCGAGCCTGACCACCCGATCCCGTTAGTCGCCTGTTACGACAAGCATATTCGCCTTTTGTGGCAAGCATGGGTTGCTGAAGACCAATTCTACCCCGGATCTTCACGGGTCTCAACATACGGGAAAACGTATAGAAGATAGCGAATTTTCATCAGACCAATGCCATTATTGTCATCACGCCATGTCCTCATGTTGCAGAGTCTGAACCACGCCATACGTTCCTGTCTGTGCCAGTATGTGTGGAAGGGACGTCTGATCGGACGACGTGCACGTGAAAATGCGACCCATAGCTTTCGATAACACGTGCTTTACACGTGTGTGCATTCCATTATGTTAAGGTATGATTGTCTGTTTGGACCAAAATTGTCAAAAATGCCCCTGGTTTCAGGTGGTGCGTAATTAATGTTCATGTGTATATAAGGCTTCTGCTGGATCTGTTGAAACCTCTGAAACAAAGTAAACGCACTTGTACGAAAAGACAAGTGCTTGATACCACGAGCAACGATCCACGCCGCCGGTGTGTTGTGACGCTAAAATAACCAAGTCACCGAGCATGACGATCCTCACACGACACACACACAAGGGATAATTAATGTTTTCAGAGCTTAATATAAACAAAACTAACCAGAAGACATCAGATATACGTATTAACTCTACACCCTTCCTCGTTATGAGCCTAAACAAGAATTGGCCTGCTATGACGTCATCGTAAACAGGGGCGTAGCTACCATTATAAAGAAAAGCCCCAGCTTACACATGATTTTTGATAAACAAAAATATTTCTAGTTCCGGTCCAAAATACCTCAAATACTATATAAATATAAAGCTTTCCAACCTACCAGGATTACACAAATAAAATAGCTTGCTACGCGCCTGGAAAAGGGTTCCGGGTGGGGATTAGATGTTTAGGAATAGATGGGTGTCTGACGGAGCCAGATCAGGAACATAAAGTGGGTGCTGAAAGCGTTCAAAGTCACACTCAAGGATTGAAGCCACGACAATGACTGAATCGTGTACTGGCACATCTTCCCGAGGGTTCCGGCACCTCGCCTAATTTACGGATCACCTTTTAGGCAAATCACATTTTACCGTTAAATCAATCAAAACTCACTCAAAAAAGAGAAAAAAATGGTATTGCTTCTCGTCAAATAAATCCTTTGCCGAGCACGTAGGGGCACCAGTACTGTGACTGCATAGGCGGATCAAGATCCAGATTTGTTCTGAAAGCTTATTAAATGACCATTGAAACTCGCGTGAAAATGAAGTGTACACCCTTCCTTTTCTCAATAGTGTGCAACCCCCGACCC